GGACAAAACCTACTTTTGTTCCTGTCAAGATTTCTTGTTAAAATGTTCTCCCTCAAAATATTTAAGATTATTATTGGGGGAGGGGGTTATTTTCCTTCTTAAATGGATCATTCTGAAAGCAAGTCTTCGGATGTCTACATTAAGAAAAAAATACAGATCATAAACTCAGGGTTGTGAGAACTGAGAAAAGTTGCTCTTTTCATTTCAAAACTTGTATTTTCATTTCAAATGTTCTAAACGGGTTCTTTCAAGACCGATTCTAAACATTCTTGGCATCTTTGGTGGCAGGCCAGACCAGCCTCTGCTTTACTTAAATAATCTTCATACTTAAAAAAAAAAAAGAAAAAAAGGAAAAAAAAAGCTATGGTAGCTTTATTTGTATTTGAATGTAAAATGTCTTTCAGTTCTATAATTCCAAAAAGAAATGAGTGGCTTCAGCAGAATAGCTGTCTGCCTTTAGCCAAGAACAGGAAAACCAGGAGTGACATGTGGCCTTGTGGATGGTGAAAATGTATTTCCAATAGCTAAAGCTGAGGGAAGTGCAATGTTTCTTAGCCATGTTCATGTGTAGGCAGTGTGAAGAAAAGATTCTCCCTGCCTGTGCTCTATGTTTCTTGAATTCTTTTTTTTTTTAACATTTATATTTTAACATGTATATTTCCAAGCACTCTCTGCCAGATAAATTTTCCAGTAGACTAGAATTTAGTCAAAAGGAATATATGGTATATCATCCTGCTCAGTTTCCTTCTTGGGGTTCAGGGTTTCTTTCAAAGCCAGGGAGGGAGGGAGATGAGAGGCAGGCCTGGTGTAGTTATAAACAACCTGCTGTCAGAGAGCTCAACACCAGGCATCTGCCGCCCCCCTGCCCAGGCCCTGTTTCTTTGCTAGTGATATTACTTGGCTTGGGATCCTTAAAGAGGGCTTTCTTGTAGTCCAACTTGATTTAAACAACAACAGAAAAATATGCTTTCAGATGAGTTCTCAGATTTTGTGTTTACGATCCCCCAGATCAAATGAAACTTCAGCTCTTGAGTTTAAATCCTTCCCTTTCCCCTCTGAGGGAAGGAAACAGTCCAGTTTGTAAGATGAAGAGATCATGACTGACCGAGGCAGTGGCAAGAAGAGGGGCTTTGCGTTTGTTACATTTGATGACCATGATTCTGTGGATAAGATTGTCATTCAGAAATACCATACTGTGAATGGCCACAACTGTGAAGTGAGGAAAGC